AAAGGTTATCGCGTAGATCGAATCAAGGGAAGACGCAGTTCATCAACGAGGCCAAGTTGTTGGGTCGTGTGCAGCACCGAAATGTGGTGAATCTGATCGGTTACTGCACCCATGCCTCCGAGAAGCTTCTTGTTTATGAGTATGTCCCTCACAAGAGCCTTGACAAGTTTCTCTTCAGTGAGTCTTTCTCTCCAAACCACCCTCTTAATTACATCAATTATTTTCTTATACAGAAGAACTTCTGGTAAGAAAAATTTACCTTCAACAGTTTTCTTCTGGTTTTGGGAAGACAAAGAAAAACTGAAGAATGACAGAGTAATAAAATTTGTATGTCTCTTTTTAAAAATAGTTTAATTAGTTAACATGATAGGTTTTCCCTTCAGTTGACGTTTCGTGGTGTCCTGAGAAACTTGTTCTGTTTCAATACTTTTTTTTTGTTGCTTCCATTGGCTAGATTAAGTTTTTGTAATCAGCCAAACCTATGGGTCCCAAAACATCATTTTTTTTCATCCCTTCTCGTATAAAGTATTTATTGTCGTGAGCATGTGGACACTGGAAAGGGACAGGACTAAATCATCTTGACCTTCACAAGCATTAAATTATTAATTTATTTGACAAACATGTAACGTTCTAATAAATTAAATAGGCGCACAACTTGCAACTGGAAAGTTTCCAGATTGTAGCACACCTCCACCTTCGAAGAAGAGTCAAAGAAACTTCCCCACGACGGAATTCATTTTTATTTTACCAGGACAAAAAATATTTTACCCAATTAAAAATTAGACGATTCATCAAGTGTTTTTTTTATGCAGAAACGGGGAAGAAAGAAGAGCTAAACTGGAAACGTAGATTTGACATCATCAATGGGGTGGGAAGGGGTCTGCTTTATCTTCACGAAGACTCTCACAACTGCATAATCCATCGCGACATAAAGGCCAGTAACATCTTACTTGATGAAAAATGGGGTCCTAAGATAGCAGACTTTGGTCTCGCCAGACTCTTCCCCGAAGACCAAACCCACGTCAACACCCGTGTGGCTGGAACCAAGTGAGTTTGCATCACTGTTCTTCCTTAATGAACTTTTCTACCTCCCAAAAGTCTAAACTCTAAAGTCAATATCGTACTATTCAAAACTCAATCAATGAAGGAAACTTGAAAATCATTTATTAGTGTGGCCCTTTAAGGGTACAATAATAATGATGATGATGATGATGAAAAAATAACTTAGGAAATATGATTTGATATGCAGCGGGTATTTGGCACCAGAATATTTAATGTATGGCCATTTATCTGTGAAGGCAGACGTATTCAGCTATGGAGTTTTGTTGTTGGAATTGGTCACTGGCCGGAGAAATTCGTCGTTTGATGCCAACTCCAGTGCGCAGAATCTCCTCGACTGGGTAATAAGTTTTTTTTTTATTATTATTATCTCCTGCCTCTTAGTTTCTTCGTTTTACACTAACTATCTTAAAAATCATATCTATAATGAATCTTGATTAATTTTTAACCAAAAAAAATATTTATGGACATCTTAACAAATATTACTGTTGTAAGATTCTTAACATCTTAAAATTATTTGTATTTACAATTTGGCTATAATTTACGAGTTAAAAAAAAAAAAAAAGAAAGCGTAGAAACAATGAAGATTGTACCCTTAAAATACCGTATGAGCAATAATCTACATATTATTTGATTTTATCTACATTTATTACAGATTTATTTTTTTCTTTTTATCTTTTTATCACATCATATAATTTGTAAATTTGTCATTTTTCTCTCTCTCTAATTATATATATTAAATGTTAATGCATCTTTTTAGTGGAATACGAAAATACATACTTGTCAATAGTTTTTCTTAGGTTTAATAGGTTCGGAGGTCCCTATATTTGTGGGTTCGTTTTAATTGGGTCCTCCAATTTTGAAAGTGATCAATTTGGTCCCTAATTTAACAAAATTGAGTCAATAATACCCTTTCCGTTAAATGCAATGGACGACATTAACGTTTTAAATAAAACTGTGTAAACATGTGGTATGTTGAAGCATCCTTCAAATAAAACTGTGTAACCTGCAAATAAAAGGATGCCTCAACATGCTACATGTTTAAAAAGTTAACGCCGTCCATTACATTTAACGGAAATGGTATTATTGACTCAATTTTGTTAAATTAGGGACCAAATTGATCACTTTCAAAATTGGAGGACCCAATTGAAACGAACCCACAAATATAAGGACCTCCGAACCTATTAAACCTTTTTCTTATTATAATTAGAACTGTCAAAAGTTTGACTTGATCCAACAAATTAAAATATGAAATGAGTCATGTCAAACTAGTCTAATTTTCACGTGGATTACCTTGTTTTTTTCCTATGTTATTTTATATTGTTCTAAAATATGAAATGAGTCATGTCAAACCTAGTCTTATATGTCAAACTTCTTGCACCTTCATATATTTCTTCCAGTACTCCCATAAATTCTTATATTTGGACGATTCAATTTAAAATGTATATTTTGTATTCCAGAAAGAACAAACTTAAATATAAAAATGATATTTTAGATTATACAATCTTAAATATATTTGTATTCCAAATGGTATGAAATTTAAAATATTTTTTATTTATATTTTACATTGTATATTCTCATCATATATGATGAAAATATGAAGGTGTAGAAGGAAATGACATGTTTTACAAAAGTTAAAAACAAAGTGGCTTAAAAGGTTGTTGGGTCTATATTTTACCAAACCATAAGACACGAGGTTACATATTTCAGAGTATGGCTAATCCATATTAGGTTGTTTAAATTGCATCATGACACTATCATGTTGGTCATTTCTTGTTATATAAGGTCGAAAAATTATACATTGCTATTCATATTTTCTACTACTTCCACTTTACAATCCCTTTTAATAATAAAATATTATTTAATAAATAAAAATAAATATGACAAAATATTGAAATAAAATCATAATAAACCATTTTTTATAGCTGTAAGATAAAGTATTTCTAGTAATAAATAAAATGCAGATAATTGGATCTCCTAGAAACCTAAATAAAAGGAGAAAATTTGCCTACCTTATTCTGTTGATCCTTTGATATTACAGGCATACTGGCTATACAAGAAGGGGAGGGCTTTGGAAATGGTGGACCCTGCATTGGGGTCTTCAGTGATAACTGAAGAAGTAGAAATGTGCATTAAACTGGGTCTGTTGTGCACTCAAGGTGATCCAAACCTTCGTCCAACCATGGGACGTGTGGTGGTGATGCTGTCAAAGAAACCGAACCACATGGAAGAACCAACAAGACCAGGAATGGCTGGTTCCAGATTCAGAAGAGTGTCTCACAGACCCTCTGCAATGTTTTCTTCTGGGGTTGATGATGACTCTCATTCACACACTGACACTGGTGATTCAAGCAACTATGCCACTAATAATAATACTACTTCTGTAACATCAACAACACCAAGCTCCAGTGCAACTGCAGAAGTAGACCCCCGAGGGAAACGACCGATGCAAGGTTAGCCACATGCTAATCAGTTTTTTCAATTTTCGTATCATTAATTTTGTGATGTAAGTAAATATTATCATGTAAATAATGTCACCAGGAGTCGTAGGGTAATTTTTTTCCACTGCCACTGGAGTAGGTCCCTTTTATCCCCTTTTCATCACTGTATATAAAACCCTTTTCAAAAAAAAATTTAAGACCATTTTCTAATGCTAATGATCTCTTCTTAAAATATTTTTAATTAATTAATCAAATATTAATTAAGTAAATGAGAAACAATTAGAAATGACTTTGAAAGAATAATATAAATGTTAATCAATTCAATGTCACTAATTAAATTAATTAATTTTTAAAAAATATTTATTAGTTTGAAGATATTTTACGTACAGGTATAGAAATGACTATATATGATGTAAAAGAGTAAAAAGACTTGTAATGAGAAATATTTATTGGTTAGGAATTAAACTATGATTTTAATGTAAGTTTTATAATTTTAAAAAAAATCATATTAATATAATCTATATTAAAGTAACATTTTTATTTTTACATAATACTATTTTTTCGCTTATAATGTCTGAGCTAGAGTTAAAAGTTAAAGTTAAAAGTGTATATATGGATCATTTAGCCTTGTAAATTTTAGTATATTATTATAAATAAGATGTTAAATTTCCATAAATAGTTTCAAGGGAAGGAATAATAAATATAAAAATGTTAATTTTCATTAATCTTAAAAGTTTAAAAGAAAGAAAAACAAATTATCAGATGAACCTTAATTTTTTATGTGCAAGCTCTTATTTTAAGGTTATAAAAAATAAAGTGTCAAGTTATTTTCAAAATCAAATTGATTATTGATCGAGTCAGCATATTGATTAAGATTTAATACTCGATTAAAGTTTATACAAATCAATAATAATAAATATAATATCATACTTTTCTACCACTTTCTTTTTACAGAGAAACCTCAACCATAAGCTTATTACATCTTCCATTTTCAATATTTATGAGTTGGAGTTATCTCTCCACAAATTCTTTTCAAAATGAGGTGGCTTTGCGAGAATATCTCTCCACAACTTTAATTTTTTTTTTAATTTACAGACTCAATCGTTTTCTTTTGTAATATTAAAATATTGAAAGTTATATATAATGTTAATTAATATGTACCATGTTCCTTTTTTTTATGATAATAATAAAATTATTTCATTATTTATAATTATGTTATAAAATTAAAATAATTTTTATAACTTTATTATAATAGTTTTTATTTATTTTCGTTAGTAGTTTTATCATTAAAATAATAATTAAGTTTTATAAAAATTATCAGATGAAAACAATAATTAAATTAAATTTTATAGAAACAATTACTTAAAAGATAAAATTAATAAAATAATTATATTAATTAAAAATATTTAAAAGATAAATTTAAAAAAAATATGAAAAAACAAATTCATATCTCTTATAAAAAAAGTTACTTCTTATTTTAACTAAAATTTGTTTGGTAAAAATGACTATTTCCACGACATTCTTCTTCTATCGAAAATAATCGCAACAATATCTGAGAAATCAGAAGTTGATGGAGACAGTATCACTAGAGTAGACTCTAGAACCAACACAAAAATGGGGAGCATAACCACCACGACCACCATTGTGGCCGCCGCCACCGCCACCGCCACCACCCCCCCGCCTTCCCTACTACCGAAACCAAAACCACGTTTTCTCACTCCTTCCAATTTCAAATTCCAACCCTTCCCTCTATCCATTTCCTTAAAACACCACACCCAACTCCCCATCCCCAAATCCATCCCCTCTGCCGCCGGCGCCGCCGTCTCCCCCCTCAACCTCAAGTCCCGCCTACGCAATGGCGAAACCCTTTACGGTCTCTTCCTCCTCTCCTTCTCCCCCACCCTCGCCGAGATCGCCTCCCTCGCCGGCTACGACTTCGTTGTCGTCGACATGGAACACGGCCCCGGCGGCATCCGCGACGCTCTCCCTTGCCTCCACGCGCTCGCTGCCGCTGACACCGCTGCCATCATCCGCGTCCCGGAGTCCACCGCGGCGTGGGCCAAGAAAGCCCTCGACCTCGGTCCACAGGGCATAATGTTCCCCATGATCGACACCGCCCAATTGGCCCACCAAGCTGTCTCCTTTTGCCGCTTCCCCCCCGCCGGTTGCCGCGGCGCCGCCCATCCCATCGTCCGAGCCTCGAAATACGGTTTCGACGATGGGTACATCGGTAATTACCTGGACGAACTTCTGATCATGTGCCAGGTGGAGTCCAAGGAGGGAGTGGCGAACGCAGGCGAGATCGCGGCCGTTGACGGCGTGGACTGCGTGCAAATGGGGCCGTTGGATCTGAGCGCTAGTTTGGGGTACTTGTGGGACCCGGGGAACAAGAGGGTGAGGGAGGCGTTGAGGGAGGCCGAGAGAAAGGTGTTGGAGAGCCGAAAGGACGACGTCGAGAGCGGAGCTTATCTTGCGGGCTTCGCCACGGCGTTTGACGGGGCGAGGGATATGAGGTCACGTGGGTATCACATTGTGAGTGGCGCCGTGGATATCGGGTTGTTTCGCAGCGCCGCGGCGGAGGATGTGATTGCTTTCAAGACGAGTGTATCGGAGAGTGAGGAGGAAGAGGAGAAAGATGTTGATGAGAAGTACTGGAGTGAATGAATGACAGAACAAGAGATCTTTCCATTTTTTGTAAATTTAGTTCACGTATTATGTGTTTTTGACCTTTCAAAGGAAAAGGACTCGTTGATTTCATGTTTTTCATTGTTTTTTCAAATGAAGAGTTTTGGTATTTTGGCTTCTTCATTCTTGTGTGGCTTGATTTGGTTCATTTGCACTGGTTGTCATCTTTAATGCCACAACGAAAATATGCATCGTGTGTCACTCTAGAACTGTGGTTTTGTGCTTTTGGTTGTTTAACTGAATGTGTCAGCAATTTTACTAATCACAATTGGAATGTAACTGCATTTGAAACCGTGGCTCTACCGATTGAAAGTAATTACTGATGTGCAGATATATGTACGAGAGGTTTCAGATGCTGGTTTAGATTTCAGCATAAGAATGGAATTCTGTTTTTGGAGTTGTGTGTTTTCATTTGGGTTTACTCTGTGTCTTGTTGACAAGACATGTTTAATTTGGTTGTTTATGGTGCTTTGCCTTCTACTTTTGATGTAAATACATGTTTTGTGTTGAAATTGTATGATCTATTGTGTGTCCTTGTACCTGTAAGACACTACTAAGGTTTTATTGTGGGTGTGCAACTGCTGTATCATGTTTTGGATGTCTTTGCAATCACACCACTGCAATCACACCACTGCAACCACAGTTTAAGACCTTTTAAAGGCTAATTTTTGAATGATTGATGATCTTCATCAATGGGGTGTGTAGGATAATGCATGAGGTAGTGAAGGTTAGCAGTAGTAGCCTTTTTGAGATGAAGAAAAAAGTAATATTGATACTTAGTTGTTAGCCCTACTGCAAATATGTATTTTGAACTTTACTTTCTTTTGAGAAGTGGTGCAATTTCAGAAAGATTGTATCTTCACTTTCTATAAATATTTGTAGAGTGTTTTAAATTGCTTTATATTATCTATGTAATGATTTGATCAAGTCTATCTATATTAATCGGGTAGTTACAAAGGATATAATAAATATTTTTCAAATGTTTATATATATATATTAGCTATTGAATTAAGTAATTAGCAACTCATTAGTGATCATGTTAGGATTCATAATACGATAAGAATAGAGTTCATTTTAATACATTTTCCCTCTAACACTTGTGAGCTCAAAGGTTTTTTAGGGGCCAGCAACTCTTGCCGTCTTTGCAGCAGTGACTTATCAATCTCACCAAATAACATTACAACAAGAAAGAAAAATAATGGAAAAAAGAAATAAAATACTAAAAAGGATATTACTCAACTTTTGAAATTAATGGTTCAAAGTTTATTAGTTCATTACTGAATTAAGACTTTTTTTTTCTCTCACCGAACACATAAACCTATGAATTATTCTGAATACATGGCGTTTAATCATCGTGTAAATCTACCAGAATATAATATTAGGATTGAATATAATAATAAAATATATAATATTAACATATCACAAAAATATACGATTCAAAATTTAAATGAGTTGAAATTTTATATTAAATGAAAATCAATAAAATAAATTGTATATAATATATTGTCTTATATTATTTTCTTTTTATGGGTTTATAATTTTTTAATAAAATGATTTTTTCTAAAAAAATTTAATATGAAAAGAATCATAAATGTGTGTTGTATATTGATAATAAAAAGTTAAATAATAGTAACTTATATGAGTTTTATATAACAGGTCCTACATTTTATAAATTAATTAACTTAAAATTCATTTTTCGATATTTAATTTAATTTTAAAAAACAAAAATATAATTATAAGTGTTGAGAAAAAGGGTTTTGGAAAAAGATGGTCGCACATTGTCCCATAAAATGAAAGTTGGATAAGTTGTGGGTTGTATTGTATGACATTGTCCTATGATCAATAAAGGAAGTTGACTTGTTAGATTATTTGGATCCAACTAATTATCTTCCTTATAATGTTATGACGCCAAGACTTATGGCTTTTTTTCACCAAATACCTTCCTTCTTTCCCTCCATAATAAACTTTTATTTTCTATCACTCCTATGAAATACCTCTTAATTATCTCCAAAACAAAAAATAATTTGGACTTAATTTTCTAATCTCAACCGATTATACTTCCCACCACCATCCAATTCAATTTTGTTTCAACAACTCTACCTGTAAAAATCCTACACTCTTCTCTCTCCCTAACTTAAATTTTCAAGTTACATCAAAATTATTCTACTTATTTTTAATCAACTTATTTGGCCACTACTATTAAATCTTTTCATTCGTAGATATTTATTCTCACTAAGTATAATTTGAAATGTTTTAAACTAAAATTATGTCATTTTAAGATGACTCTATCTTCAAAATACCAAAATTTTATGTAAAATTTTTACGGTAATAATAGTTAAAGAGAGAGAAAAATAAAGAGTTAATAGAGATACAAAAATTATAAAACTAAATTACTATATTTTGAAGAGAGATAAGACTAGTAAGCATTCACACACACAAAACCAAAAGGCAAAATAAACAACAAAAACGACAGAGACTATTCGTTTTCAACTGTGACAGATTATAACTTATTAGCGAAACCGTTCACCAGCGCCAAAGCATTGCTTGTGAACTTCTTCACTCTGGTTACTCGATCGCATACGCTCCTCTTCACGGGACCTTCTTCTACGCCCTCGAACCCGTCCGTGCACGTTTCCTCGTCCGTCAGCGCCGCGCTCATCCACGTCAGCACGTTGCTCACCCCGAACCGGACCGAACCGGAGTCCTCGTTCGGTCTCAGTCGCCGCATCTGCTTCAACGAGCCGCGGATCTCGTCCACAGCGTCCTCCAGGTTAGCGAAGCAGTCGTTCACGGCGGCGCCGGCACCTGCGCCGGAATCCTCATCGACCACCGTAGCGGTCTGGTGCGAGAGATAGGCCGCCGCGCCGTGCGCCTTAGCAAGCGCCACGGCCACGGCCACCCGCGCGAGGCCGCCGGGGCTACGTTGCACCGCGGCGGCGTAGCGAGAGAGCGAGGAGAAGCATAGGTCAGGGTACAACGTTGCGTTGCAGCTTTCGCGAATGAAGTCGGTGTCACCGGAAGCGTCACCGGAAGTGAAACCGGAAGCGTGGCCGGCGGTGACAGTTAGGACGAGACGAGAGAGTGTGGACGCAAATAATAACAGAGAAAGGAGGAAATGACGTGTCATTTTGGGGGGAACTTGTTGAGTTGTGTTATGTGTTGAGAATGGAACTGGAATATGTATGCACGAATGAATGCGTGTAAGAGGGTTTATGTAGGAGTTGGATTTAAAAAAAAAAAATAGTTTAGATATTGTTGAGTTCGATATTCATGTTTCCGACTGAAATAAAATTCTTCAATTATTTTAATTTAAATATCAATTATGTCAGCGCGCTTACAACATTATAAATCTTGAAGTAATATTTACTAGTATTATGGTAATAGGGAAAATGTTTAAACAATATTTTAATTGAAGTACTAATGTATTGTTAATCAAAATTTTAGCTTAATACTTTTATATTTAATTATTTTTTCTTTGAAAGAAAGTACTTGCATACCTTATAAGTAAAAATCTAGGTATAAATATATTAAAGAAATAGAACTATTATGATAAATATTACAATACTTGATGAGATCTAATCCAATATAATAGCTAAATATATTTATTGAAGTAAAAAGCGAAATAGAATTTGTATATAAGGAAATAAAATATCTTGATTTGTTTTGAGTTTAATGTAGGAATTTTAACAGGTTGAGAAAGTGACTAACAACTTATTGATGTTGTTTAATTGTTCATACTTTGGTTGTTTTTGATAAATAAAGTTAGAAAATGACTTAATCATAAAATAACTTAATGTTTAATTTTTAACTAATTTGGTAATCTTTCTCTTATAAAGTGGAGTGAGTTAAAAACTTAGATAAGATTGTTTAGACTGAAGAAAAGTTAGTAGATTTGAGTGAAAAAGTTGTCAAAAATATGATTGATGCGACTGAAATAAAATTAAAAATAATTATATTATTCAATGAATTAATAATATGTCCTTTATTATATTTTATTGAGAATGAATAGAAATTAAATTTGAATAATGAATAGTTATCAAGTGATTAGTTTATGTTAAGAAAATATTTAAATAAATTTATTTAATTAATTTTATATACTTAATTTAATTTTTGAATGAGTACGAATTAAAATTAAAAAATTATCATTTTGTTAATAACATTTCACAAAATTTGCATGAATTTAAAAGTAATTAAATTTTTAAAACAATTTTATACTTCTATATAAGTTTAATTTATTTTATTAATATTATTTTACGAGAAAATAAAATCAAAATCATTTATATGAAATAGATATTTAATTAACTTGTTTTAATTTTTATCTGTCACATACTTTTATCATATTTAATTTTCATCTTAATTTATATATATATATATATAT